GGTCCCTGTACTTTGCTAAGCTTGTTCTAAGTAAGTGCCTTGGACCACTGAGCCATCTCACCAGCCCCAGCAACATTTGTTAAAGAGTATATCTTTCTTCCAGTAATCCTGTTTGTCCTCTTTGTCAAATATCAGGTGACTGAGTGTGTTCCTAGAGGCCTCTGCATCTTCTAATTCATTCCATTGATCCTGAGGTCTTTTTTTTGCCAGTAGTATGCTGATTTTATCACAGTAGGTTTGTAGTATAATTTCAAGTCAGGAATTGTAATGACTCCTGCCTTGTCCTTTTTGCCCAAGAATGCCTTTGCTATTCTGGGTCTTTTCTGGTCCCATATAAATTTTAGGAATGATTTCTCTAGGTCTGTGAGGTATGTTGGTCATAGTTTGAAAGAGATTCCTTAAATTTGGAACAACAATTTTGTGTGTATGGCCATCTTCACAAAGTTGGTTCTTCCTATATTGGAGCAGAAAATATCTTTCCATTTTTCTGAAATCCTCTACGATCTCTTTTTTCAGAGTACTGTAATTTTCATTGAAAAGATCTTTGACTTCTTTAGTTAGATGAATACCAAGGAATTTCATTTTCCTCGGTGCTATTGTAAAAGGTATTGTTTCTCTAATTTCCTTCTCAGTGTGTTTGTTTTCTGTGCATAGGACTACTGTTGACTTTTGGGTATTGACTTTGTATCTTGCCATGCTACTGAATATCTGTATCAATTCTAGCAGCTTCTTGGTGGAGTTTTTTGGGTATTCCATGTAAACTATCATGTCATCTGCAAATAATGATAATTTAACTTATTTAACTATTCATTATGTTTATTTCTCGTGTCTAGAGGCTCTAACTAATGATTCCAGAACTATATAGAACAGGAGGGGTGATGATAGACATTCTTGTCTTGTACCACATCTGACAGGGAAAGGTTTCAGTTTTTCCCCATTTAGAATTATGTTAGCCATTTCGTTGTCATAGATGACTATTATCATGTTGAATTTGAGGCCTTCTATTTCACTTACCTGTAGTACTTTGAACATGAATCATTGTTGGACATTGTCAAAAGTCTTTTCTGCATCAATTGAGATGATCATGTGGTACTTAGATTTCGCCTTATTTATATAGTGTATTGCATTTATAGATTTCCTTATGTTTAACCATCCTTGCATCCCTGGGATGAATCCTACCCCGTCGTGGTATAAAATACAGAATGTTTCATGAATTTGCATGTCATCCTTGCGCAGGGGCCATGCTAAACTTCTCTGTATCATTCCAACTTAGGTGTAAGTGCTGCCAAAACAAGCACTATGTAAAAATATATTTAACACTGAACTCTTAATAAGGAATTGTCTGGTGCATAGCAATTTAGAGTAATATTGGCTACTGAAATGTTTCCTGTTTTTCTCTTATCAGTAATAATTTTTTTCTTCTAAAAGACTTACCTTGTTTTACATTTTAGAGTTTCTACCCAAAGCTAAACAAGATAAGGTGAATGTTACAAATCAGTAATTTCTAGCAGTCTTCCCAGTTTGGGCGTTTTATCATATACTGAGTGTAATGTGCATATGAACTTTTAAGATATTCAGCCTTGTGTGTAAAATCTCAAAAAATAGATAAAACAAATTGTCAATGATTTATCTAGCTAAGAAGCCAGTCCAGTTAAGGTAATCATATTACAGTGGTATGAAGGATTATATTAACTTCAAGTATATTATAAAAACCAAATGTAATTTTCTCTGAGGTTTTTTGCACTTTTCTAGAATCGTTGTTATTGTTGTGGGTAAATGTCCTGTGGAATATAACTCTTTATCATTTAGTATTATACATATTATTAAATCTAACAGTGAATTCCAGATTAATTTAGCTTAAATAAAAACTATTTTTCCTAAACTACTTTAGTTACCTAAACTTTGCTGAAAGTTTAGCTTAAACTCATTCAATCATCTTTTAGCTTTTCTAACAAGAGGCACCAGAATGACAACGTAAGACAGAGTTAGTCTAAATTTTTTTTTATTTATTTGAGAGAGAGAGAGAGAGAGAGAGAGAGAGAGAGAGAGAGAGGAGTGTGGTGTGTGTGTGGCCAGCTCAGCCCACCAGGGGGCGAGGCTGGCTGGCATGTGGTGCTGGGGGATTGAACCGCGGTCCCCGATGCCTTGCTAAGCTTGTTCTAAGTAGGTGCTTTAGACCACTGAGCCATCTCTCCAGCCCCAGAGTTAGTCTAACATTGTGAGATCAACGCACAAGAGAGATATACACCAATGTCGTCAGAGAAATAGGTCACACAGGTACAGAAGGAAAAACCCGCCAATATGATTTTTACAATGTATTATGGTAGACATCAACAAGGAATTATTAAATAACAGTACCAAAATGTAAGAAGGGCTCGAGAGGTCATTAAAAAAAAGTTTTACATAATTGCTCTAAAGTAAAAGTATATCAACTAGGTAAAGATATTGAATATCATTTGACTTCGGTTCCTTCATCAAGTACAAAAACCTCATTTTAAGGATAAACATCTGGGTAGTTTTACTTATAGGCTTCAAATGTCTTTAATGGGTTGTATACACCAAACCGTGAATGAATATATGACAGGGAATTAAATTAAATAGAAGTAGGCAGTCATCCATGGACAGGTCGAAAAGGGAGTCAGTTCCAAAGATGACCACAACATTGTGGTTGGAAGTGCATTGCAGCAATGTCGGATCTTGAGGTAAATGTGCAGTAAACATGATTATATACCTCCGTGAGATATAGGGATAGCTTGTGATTATACTATATTTAGTATAGCTGAGTGTACTAAATTCTTGATAAGCATGAGTTACCCAGGTGGTGGGTAAGTGATACAGATATATCCATTCCAAATACCACCTTTCTTATTTTCATTAACCCTTGCTACATGAACCAATTCCTTGTCGGATAAAAATTTTCTAAGTGGCTGTCCTTATAGCCTATCTACTTGGTTATAGCTTGGCCCAACTTGTACTAACTTCATGATGTTGCTTTTTAATACACACTTATAATATTCAAATAACGGAACTTAGCAAAAAAGGGTATACGGATAAATGTCCATTTTGTATCTGTGTATTCAAAGTGGTTAGGATAGATATATAGTTACATTCTCTTAATGAATAGAATGATTTGTTCTAATGTTGTTTGTAAATAGGATCTGAAGTCCGCACCTTTTACAGCAATTAACCACTAAGAAGAATGTATGCAGTGTGTTAATTATTGAAACTATCCTAGCGATTTGATTTGAAACTGTCTCATTGCTATTTGCTTATCAATAAAATTATGAAAAAAGAAAAAAAATAACAGAAAAAAACATTCTAAGCAAAACTATCTTTGTGATAACCCACTTGAGACTACTCCTTTGTATGAAGTGCTATCTCTTATTAAACTTCAATCTTAAATCACATTATCCTTAAAATTCATTGCTAATTTTATGGGATCAGAAACTCAATACATCTAACATCTAGCAAGTTCAGAATTATATTCTCTTCTATATAAAATTGACAATCTGTTGATCCAACATGTCAGATTGCTTTAAATTTATGAATGGCCAAAAAATGGAGAAATTTTAATGGAGTAATTCATATGATACAGCTGAAAATGTTTCTATATTTTAGTTATTTGCAATCATTTATTCCTGTGCTGTGAAGTAAAATTGATTGTTAAAGCTCTAACCCCTGACACCATCAATAGAAACACGTGTTGGTATCTGGCAAAGCTGGAAATTAGTCGTATGTATAAGAGCAGGACAAAGCTCCAGTGTCTAAAGCAGTAAATCTGTCTCAGTCTTGAAAAAAGCATGGTGCTGGCATAAGTTCAGTCATTAGGCATTAGGCAACCTTGTGTCATGTGTTAATAATTTTGGAAGCATATAAATAAATGCCCTGACTGTTGGACTTTGGGTCCTTTTTCCATCAGACAAAGGTCTCCATCTGAACCTAGGACTAATTTCTTGTCTATGTCTTTTTCATTCTTGTTAGTGTTTTTCCTGGGATACAGGGAGAGACCAAGTTGTCCCCACAACTAGAACAATGAAATTTTAACATAGTTCTTGATGGTTCATGTGCCCATCAGTCTAGTTGATTTTTCATGTGTGTTTCTCAGAGTGTTTTGTGGGAATGGTGTCTCATACATTTTGGTTTGGGGAAATATTGAGAGACTTGCCTGTTTTTACCAAACTATGATCAAAATTTCTTTTTTCTATCATTTTCTATGTGGTTGGGCAATTAAACAATGATACACCATGATTTACTTCCAACATCCAGGTTTCTGGACTTTAACATTATAACACTGTTACTTCATTCTGAAAGAATATTTTCCTCACTAGAACTTTGTTTATCATGGTGGTATGTGTTATCATTTTCACAACATCTTCATTAGTTGTTTATATTCTACTCTCTTGAGAAATACTTAAGGTGTTTTCAGGAAGAAACTATGTTTACTTTTTTTCCCCTTTGCATAGCTATCACTTTACTCTTCAGCATTCAAATCACTTTTAAACATTGAATTATTGTCTGATATTTTCTTGTGTCAAATAATTGAACATCATTGATTTACTGACACTTTTTAAATTCCTTATGAAAAAGTTCATTTAAGCCACATTTCTCTAAGTGAGAATGAAATACTCTCTAAGAACATGCGTAATCTTTCCCAGTGAAAATGTAACTAAATAACTCAAAATCCTGAAGAATTAGTCTATTATGTACATTTTATTTTATTTTTATTTGTTTTATTTTTTCTGGCAGAACTGGGGATTGAATTCAGGTCTTTGTGCTTGCCAGGGAAGCAATTATTCTTCTGAGCCATCTCCCTAGCTCTTTATTATGTACATTTTATCAAGTGAATATATATTAAAGTATTTATGAGGAAAATTTGACATAATTTATTTTTTAACACTGTTAACTATATTTTAATTTTTATATAATGCGAAGGTGATGTTATTAGAAAATATATCATGTTGCTATATACGCAATTGCAGTCTTCCATGTTGACAAACTTTAATCAATATGGCTGTAACTATCAGGATATTTAGTTAGATTTATGTTTTTCCCTTCAGCAGAGAGATAATAGCAATATAGTGAACTAAATATGAAATTTATAAAGATAAATCTAGATTTTATGCCTTATAAAATTTTTATTTCACTGCTCTATGTGATGTATTCTAAAAGGGGGCTGCAGTATTCAAAACCATCATAAAATTTAAACTTTTTCAAACTTTGTGATTTTGATATTTTGCTCCACTTTCATCTTTTATTTCATCTGACTTTATAGTAATGCGTGCTCCCCTCCCTCTGGAAAAAGAATGTTATACCTGCAGTTTACCTACTAAAATCAAACATTTCCTAAAATTTCACTTTTAAAAAGGTTGGAATTCTCATTAAATACAAGGGAAAAATTCAGAATACAACAAGGTATTATATTTTTCCTTCTCCATAAACAAAATTTTCCCACTTTATTTTTATATAATAATAATGATATAAAAATAAGGGAATAGAAATCCCCCACAATGCTGTACCAGAGTATAACGTGAAGAAAAACAACAAAATTATATGCATAAAAGTATACTTTAAGTATTTTCTTTGGCAGTTCACCACAGTGAGAAATGCTATGTATATAAAGGGTAATCTGTTGGTCAAATTGTGTTGATTTCAAAAACTAGTTTAATAATTTGTAAAGAATCAATTGTATTTTTTAGAATTCTGGATGCCAGAAAGCTCATGAACAAGGCAACAGCAGCTTTATTGTTTACTGAAGATTTGTAATCTGATTCCAAAATGATCCTTTGAACATAAATTCTCTAGACATTTAGTGTATGCTATGACATATATGATATCATTTGGAAATGTGATTTGATACTGAAATTATTTTCAATTTTGATAACATCTTGATGCCCAAAAGGATTAATGTTAATGAAGTCTATTTTTATCAAATTCATTTGATTGTTTTTCTTCTATTGTCGCATCCATTGCCAAATTCAACATCAGAGATGAGTAAGCATGTTCTAATTGACAGTCTTATAGTTTTCTGACATTTAGGCTTTTATTTCTTTAAGAATTTTTTAGTTTGATGAAAGGAATCCAATTTCTTTCATTCGTATTTTAACAACTTATCTTACCAGCAATATTTGTGTATAATTCATTCTGCTCCATTTTATAGTTTTCCTCAGGTGATCTATAATCCTGGATTCTCAAAACTTCTGAAGTCTATACTACCCTCTGACTTTACATACTTTCTTCTCAAGACCACATTGCCTGATCTCCCAGGTCCAAAATCTGGGTGGAAGCCTCTCTGACCCTA